GACAACATTGGGTACCAGACCTACATTATCTTTGCTGTCATGTAAGTACACCCCTTGCCGCCACCTGCATGCGTCGAGGCCGCCGAACTGACTGACTCGTGATTAGTAACGCATTCATCTTTCCCGTGGTGCTCTTCTTCTACCCTGAGACTGCGTGCCGGTCACTTGAAGAGATGGACCGCATTTTCCGGAAAACCAAGAGTATCTTCCAAGTGGTGAAGGTTGCCAACGAGGAACCTCACATGTACGGCCCCCGCGGTGAGCTGCTGCGGACGCTAGACGACGAGGAGGATGATGCGGTGCGTCGCACGAGCGTGCTGAATCACTCCATTAAGGACGCCGATAAGGATAGCGATGATGTGGCTAGCACCGAGAAGATCTAGAATGATCGGCCATCGGATCTGCGCGGATCGCTCCGATCATGTTTGCTTGTTATGCTTCGACGCGCCTTGACGACTACACGATTTGATTTGCTTTTCTTCTGCGTTGGGGCCTTGGCGCCCGATTGACGTTTATTAATATACCCCTGATGGACGATGCTATACGACTAGACGTGGTGCTTGAATGAAGATGGCTCGGGCCTTGTTCCTTGCCAGATGATTGGTATCTTGCGTACATTTTGTAGTTCTTCCTCATCAGGCAGTGCGTGTCACGTGCTATTAAGACGCCCTCGCATAGTGCCTGACTCTTTCACGTGAGTGCAAGTACTCTCAAGCTACAGGCCAACGCAGACTGGTAGTGGCCAGTCCCTAGTATTCCAGTGAGCGCAACCGTCACCTTGGCATGGCCTTCAGACCAGGATGGCTGCCACATGTCATATGCAACCGTCTTATGCACGATTCCAACCTCAACTTCTGAGGATCTCAAGCCAAATTGCAGCTGACTCTCTATGTGGAGAGCAGCGCCGAGCTTTTCATTGCTTGCGTAGCAACATCATCACGTTTCTCGTCGCTGCGGCGAGCCCTTGTTAACGAGGGCTCTCAGTCTGACTGGATGCATACTCTTGCAGTGGCCAATCATGCAAGTCCGCCATACACTTAGCAATCTCAAAAGATGGCGGGCCCCAGCAATAAGGAATTGAACCAAGCACCTGTCAAGGCTTGCTGATCTTTTTCAAACCGGGACTTGCACTTTGTGAGCATCTATCTATATTCTCATTAATGCCACTTTATTAGCCAGGAACTGTGAGAAACAAGTGGTCGAGAGTGTACACTACCAGTCACCGTTGCCAGTTATGCCACTTCTCACCACTCCCTCGGTCATCTCAATGTTCTCGGATTCATCATGATCGAAGGTCTAGGACCAGGCATTGTTTTACAACTGTCACTGAGAATCTATGCGCCGACTACATAGAAGCATAGAAAACTTGTGTGGCAAGGATGTTGCTGATACCGGGAAGGTCCCGGCTGCAAAGCAGAATGATCATCTACACATATGCCTGCACAGCCAAATCTCGTCGTTGAAGCTCTATTTGGTTGAGTGTGAGAGGCTGGCTCGATCCCATTCAAAAAGAACGTTTCTTGTCCGGCAGTTGAGACATGGGAAGCAGTGGGGGGAGTGGGTGTTGGGACCTCCGCGGTGGGCCTCGATCGCATGTGTCGCACTCAACAAGTGGGAACCGCCATGGCTGATGGCAACAAGAAAAAGAGGGGGAGTTCACACCGGTCTGATGGATTGAGTCACCGATTGTCGCCGTGCAAAGTGTCTACTCCGAAGTATGATGAGATGGATGAAGATCTCTGTTCTCTTCATCCACGGCTGGTTTACTTCCGGTATCGGATGTCTCTGCAGGTCGACGGAGTGAGTCACTGAGGTTGAATTAACGTTGAACTAGAACGTTCGGGAGCAACAGTTGAGGAAAGAAGCTGAAGTCAACCAACAGCCCCGTTTCTACCCGTCCGAGGGCCAAAGGAAGAAAACTGGCAATGCTTTCTTCCGGGGAATAGTTTTTATTTTTATTTTTCTTTCTTGTGATACATTGAGCAGCATTGTCACGTAGGTTTGTCTGTGAGACCTGCTGTTTAGAGCAGTTACCAGGTAGAATAGGGAGTAATTCAAGAGTAAGAAGAAGTAGAGAAGCACAGCATCGAAGAGGGTCTGGAACCGACCGGGCCAATGGTTCCTCCGGCAGGTCCCTCTTTTATCCTTTTACGGAAGTACACACTTTTATCAATCAATCAATCAATCAACTAGTTAATGATACATGCAAATTCCATTGACTTTTCGCCTGCCTTTTTGCTTTTTCCTCGGCTTTCACCAAGCTTTTTTCTTTTCTGTGTCTCCTGCAGGTGTTATCATCTTCCCCTTTCTCCCCTTGCTTTAATTAAAAGCGTTTGCCTCGCCTCTTTTTTGTCATCATGACCGTCGCACTGCAGGTACGTTGTCTGCGCCTCCCCACTACATTCCCAGCGTTATCGCAAGTTTATTCGTGCTCGAGCTGCATCTCCTCCCTCCCCTCCTTTGCCAAACCCAATCACAGTAGCCTTAAGACAGACCAAGAACTGACCATCTCCGACTCCATTCCAGGGCTGATCACTGCCATCTTCTCACCGGACACTCCGATCTCTGTCTGCTATCGCTCCCCCGACCCCGAGAATAAAAAGTGCGGGGTTCCCAACTCTTTCTCCCCTCGTGGCCAAACCAAACCACCATCTCTTCCTGTCTGAATTCTTCATCACCTCTACCGCCGACAAACAATCTTATCCTTGCACGTGCATTCTAGAGTAAGCATTCTTACTAGTGGCATCGACCGCGCGCCACTACTGCTTCGATTCCCTGGTCCTCAACAAGGATCAACCGTCCCAAAGTGGCCCCCTCCGCCACGATGTCCCTCGCAGAGTCCCACCCCGACCACCCCCACGGGGTGACCAAACAACCCAACACAGAGAGCATTCACGAACGATCGCTCGACAGTCGGGAGGGTGAAAATGACCTAGAGACGGGCAGTGAGCCCGAGTCCGAGGCTGACCTTGCCGAGATCGAGCGCATCTATAGGTGAGTTGGGTAGCTCGTCGAACTAGTTGTACTAGTGTGTTTGCTATCCTGCATCGTCTGACATAACATGACATGACATGCTAACTCAAATCGAACCCCTTGCAGAAAGCTAGACTTCCGCATCATTCCCGCATTCTGGGTGCTCTACTTCCTCTGCGCGGCGGTGCGCTCCAATGTCGGCCTCGCGCAAACCATGAATGAGAGCTCGGGGCATGATCTGGGCTCGGTGCTGAACATGACGCCACACCAGATCTCCACCGCTCTCGCACTGTTCTACGTCTGCTATGTGATCTTCGACTTGCCCTCCAACCTGATCATGACCCGTCTGAGTCCCCATGTCTGGATGAGTCGGATTGTCATCAGTGTGGGGATTATCGGGAGCTGCATGACGGCTATGAAGGCCGCCTGGAGTTTATAGTATGTGGTTCATGCCCCGCTCTTTGCCTGGTCCCTAGCCCCAACCAGTCACTAATCACATTTGTAAATCAGCCTCCTCCGTCTGCTCCTAGGAATTGTCATCGCGGGCATGTGGCCCGGCATGACCTACTACCTCACCCTGTTCTACCCTCCCTCCCGCACCGGCAAACGCATCGGCCAGTACTACACGGCCGCCCAGGTCTCCGCCGCCGTCGTCGGTCTGGTCTCGGCCGGGTTCCAGAAGATGGACGGGGAGCGCGGCCTGGTCGGGTTCCAATGGATGTTCCTGGTCTACGGGGTGATCACCACCGCGGTCGGCTTTTTACTCCTGTGGTGGCTGCCGGACCGGCCGCTCGCGCCCGGCGCGGAGCCCAAGAAGCGGAAGTACCTGTGGTGGTTCCCGCGCAGCCCGCCGGCGTTGAGCGGCCGCGACGCAGAGATCCACTACCACGACCTCAAGCGCGTGTACCACCGCGCGCAGTGGACATGGAAGGACCTGCTGAACGTGTTCCTGGACTGGCGCCTGTGGCCGCTGCTGATCATGTACTTTGGCGTCGTGGGCGTGGGCATCGGCACGCAGAGTTACGCCACGGTCATCATCCAGAGCATCAACCCTTCGCTGAACGGGATTGATCTCAGTCTCCTGACTGCGCCGATATGGATTGTATGCTCCCCCATCCCCATAACCCCATAAACCCATAACACTCTAAAACTAACCCCCCGAAAAAAGATGGACCTAATCGCCATCCTCCTCGTCACTCCGATCAGCGACCGCTTCCACCGCCACCGTTCCCTCTTCTTCTCCGTCCCAGTCCTCCTACAGATCCTAGGCCTCCTGCTGACCACCTACGCCGGCACGGCGACCAACTCCTGGCCCCGGTACGGGGGGCTGCTGATCGTGGGCTTCGGCCTGGGCCCCACCGTGCCCATCACCATGACCTGGACGACGGAGATCTTCCAGCCGCGCCACGGCGAGGTCGGCGTCGCCGCCGCCTCCGCCGTCGTCTCCGGGCTCGGCAATCTGGGGAGCATCATGACCACCTACGCCCTGTATTCGGGCTGGAAGAGCGATTACGAGGCCCCCGGCCGCGCCAAGTACCGCAAGAGTAACCTCGTCATGGTCGGTATCCTGTGCGCCAGTATCCTGGCGGCTGTCACCATGGAGGTGCTGCTGCGCGTCGTGGATGGGAAGAAGAATGGGGATAAGGAAGGCGTTGGTGCGGCGGTGGCTGCGGATGGGGCGGCCAGACGCGAGGCCAGGCAGAGGGGTCTGGATGGGTTGGGGGCCGGGTTGTTCAAGGTCTTTAAGCGGGGTGGTTGATGATGCGGATGATGATGACGGTGTTTATGGTGATGGCTGATGCATGGGCCTTGGGCATGCAAAAGAAAGATGTTCAGACATCGAGCCTTGTAAGGCACTCACATGGATGGCTGGACGGGAATCGTATGGACCGCCGAGTTGTGAATATGGATATAACTTATAAATCTTTGTATCTAATTTTTAGTATCCTATTGCAAATGTTGAGATTGCACCGAAAACAGTCTATATGGTCTAGGCGCAAGTAGAGCCGAGGGCAAAGAAGATTTGACATGTTCACATCCTGAGGATGTGCTTATTCGTAACGATTGATTATTTGAACACTATAATACTGACCGTGGTTCCGGCCTCAAAGCTATTTGATCCTTCCAGTTTCATCCCCAGTTTCAATTTCAAAAAGACCGTCGTCGGTTCTCCTCCGAGTATCAGTCCTCTATGCCATACGTAACACATAACCCAAGGTAAGAAAGAAACATGCAAGACCAGCAACAGGACAACGAATGCATCAACAGGCGCTGGCACACGAGAGAGGGTTCGGAAGAAACTCCGAAGTACCATCATGAAGAGAGAAAAGAAGAAGAGAAATTCTATAGTTTGCTCTCCCATGACCAGGCTGCATCGCAATCTGACTCCATGTCGAAGCCGGAGGGTATACGAGCGCTAAGATGAAATGTTTTTCACATTTGGAGTAAATGTGCTAGACGCACTTAGTTGCCACCGCAAAGAGTCTCCACGATGATACCAGTAATTTGGTAGGGGCAGGCGTTACTGGCGGGACGGCGGTCCTCGAAGTAACCCTTGCCGTCCTTGGCGACCTGGCGGGGGATACGGATGGAGCCACCACGGTCGGCAACACCGTAGCTGAACTTGTCGATGTTGCCGGTCTCGTGACGACCAGTCAGGCGCTCCTCGTTACCCTCACCGTAAACGGCAATGTGCTCAACGTGGCGGGCCTCGAGCTTCTTCATGTAGGACTCAATAGCCTTCATGCCACCGTCAGCACGAGTGGAGGCGGTCGAGACGTTGGTGTGGAGACCGGCTCCGTTCCATTCACCCTTGATGGGCTTGGGCTCGAAGGAGATTCTGACGCCGAACTCTTCTGCGACACGGTGGAGGAGGAAGCGGGACATCCAGAGCTCGTCACCCACTGCGAAAGAGATTAGTACGTGATGATCGCGACTGCAACAGGACGGAATACTCACTGTCAATACCCTGGCAAGGGCCGACCTGGTACTCCCATTGGGAAGGCATGACCTCGGCGTTGATACCGGAGATCTTGATACCAGCGTACAAGCATGCACGGTAGTGAGCCTCGACGATGTCACGGCAATAGACCTTGCCAGTACCGACACCACAGTAGTAGGGGCCCTGGGCACCGGGGAAACCACCCTTGGGCCAGCCGTAGGGCCAGCCATCGGTACCGAGGAGGGTGTACTCCTGTTCGAGACCGAACCAGAACTCCTCCTTGGCGTTGGCCTCCATCAGACGGGCAGCCTCGTGGCGGTGGTTGAACTTGTTGGGGGTTCCATCGGAGTCCCAGGTCTCGCAAAGGACGAGGATGTTGTCACCGAGACGGAAGGGGTCGGGGTAGATAGCAACGGGGCGGAGGTAGACATCGGAGTTGTCACCGGGGGCCTGGCCGGTGGAGGAGCCGTCGAAGTTCCATTCGGGCAGTTCATCAACGGACTTGGGGGACTTGGACAGAGTCTGTGGGGGAAGATGCAATGATTAGTCATAATTCCGTGGATGAGTCGATGAATCACGTGAGACTAATGCAGGTGGATTGCAGGGCGGGCGTGCAGGGTCGGATCCCCGTGCGCAGGGCTTATCGGGAGCAGGTATCCCTCCATCCCTCTAGATAACAGCAGCCATTCTCTCCGCATCCCGCGCGATCCAACCCACACGCTGCGCCACCTGCAATGGCAAGAGTGAAGGGATATGAGAAAAAGGGGAGGCGTACCCTGGTCTTGGAACGAGTGCCACCGGTGGCATCGATCCAGATGTACTCAGCCTGGACGTTACCCCGCTGGTCGAGGGACATGTACTTCATGAGCTGTTGCCAGCGCATCAGTCAGTATAAGATTTCCTTAAAACCGCAATGCGGTTCAAGAAACATCTTGCAAGGTAGCAATGAGACAAGAACGCACATTCTCCGTGTTGGAGATGGTGGTTGATTCAGCCTGCAGTGGGAGAGAGTATGAGTCAGCGCGCAGTTCTTGTCGCTGCAGAGAATGCATTCGGACCAAGAATGACCGGGGCAGTTGCCAAACCAACTTAAGGGATGCGTACCATTGTGAATGTGTGTGTGGTTGTGTGTGTGAAAGATAGAAAACAAAAGGATGCTTTTAAGCGATTAAGCTTGCAGGTGCGAAGCTCGTAGACTTGGGTTGTTCAGATCGCAGTCGAACGACACAAACAGGACAATCAAAAGATTGATGTAGTGCGATTTATAGCGAGAGCGGCGGAAGGATCAAAAGTTGCTCTTGAAAAGAGAGAGAGAGAGAGAGTAAAGGATGGGGGAGGGAGAGATGATAAAGTATGGCGGAGAGGAGATGATGGGATGAGAATGGAGAAAGTAAGTCACAACGGGAGTTTGGGTGGGGGGAGGATATCCTTTAAATTTAAGAGAATAGGTTTTTCTTTCGGGAAGGAGGGAGAAAAGGCGGCGGGCGCGTCTTTTTTTCCCATGTTCTGAATTTCAGATTTTCTGATTTTCTGAATTTCTAAACCGATTTAATCATTTCATTGATTCATTCAATCAAAACCTGTGGTCGGCCGGGCCTGGGGCTACCGGCAAAGAGTGGAAGTGTGAGAGAGAGAGAGAGAGAGGCAAAAAATCCATTCCCAAAAAAGACCCAGTCCCACCCACTTCCACTTCCATTCTGGGAAGAAAAAGTTCAAAAATAAACCTGGCTGTACTGAAAATTACCGTTCCGGTTGGGCACGGTCTTGGGACCTGGTAATTTATCACTCCATTCACGATGCTCTTTCTCGCACTTGCAACACTTGCAACTCTTGCAACTGGAGATGCGCATCAATAAGGAATCGTCTTGTCTTTCTTACTTTCTCTACAATGTTTTCTTTCATTCTGTAACCAGTCCTACAGATTCAACAGCTTTCAGAGATGGAACACATCTTTAACAGCATACTGCAACCAAGGCTGCAGGATTGACCAGGGCTCGGGGACGCCACCAGAACTGCGCCCGCATTCTATCAATGGGCCAGCCTCGACCACTCACTCTTTCCGATGTCACGATGTCAAGATTACCTACGCTGGCAGTCGTCGTAGTCATGTCAGTCAGCCCATCATCGTTAAAGGTTTTGTAAATTAACCATGACTGCCATTAACTAACTAGTAGTGTTCGTAGGCAATTGCGACTCGCCGTTTGATAGACTTTTCGAACTAAAGTTACTGTTAGGATGCAGCGGTCAGTCAGTCCAGCACGGATATTACCCGAACGGGTAATCTCGATGCGCAATTGAAGCTATCGAAAGGAAGGAACTGCCTGTCACACGCCATTAATCTAACCTCCCACACTACTACTATACTCCATAGGTATCTTCCTCGCAATGTAATCCTATCTTCCTGCTTTCTGATAGGTAAGTCCTCTCGATGATAATGATAAACCAGGTCAGGCTAGTATTGTACCTACTACCTACCGGTAGTCACCATATCATCATTCCACTGGAGGCCGGAAACGGTTGGGCTTCCCCAGATGGATCATCTTCGATGCTGGGCCCTCCCCCCCACGCGGTGGTGATCTGGGTTCAGACCTGGATCCATCCATCCCTATCAGACAGACAAGAAGCACACAAGCACAGAAACACCGAAAGTACTATCAGACCTGATAATTGGCAGGCCGCACCTCTTTCCATGTCGGCTGACCAGTAGTTTCTTGACTTCCTTTCCCTCCCCCTCCATCATCACGGCTGTGACATTGTCAACTCTTCGTCTGCCTTCTTTCTGCTAACCTTCCTATCCCTGGTGGCTGAAAGATAGCAACACGAAACGGTTGCTAAACCCCATTATCAATATCAAGTAAACGTCAGTCCCCATGCATATCAGCTGCAGGACCCAAATAGCTCGGACGTGACTTGCGCCTAATCGCAATGACCGGGGTTATTATTGGCAGAGCGCCATGGCATGGATAGGATAGAGTTGATACTTGATAGGAAGCACCTGAGAGGACACTCAGGTTGCCGCGTCCTATCTTCCGTTGCCTTATCGCAAACGATACATGTGGCTGGAGTGAGACCATATTGTCACCGAGGAGCTGGGATCAAAGTGATCATGCTCTTCTTCAATCTACCAAAGAAGGGAAACCGAGGCAGCGATTTTGATATCACAGGAATCCGTACCAGGATGTTACCGCCGCACAAGATACCCCAATACGTACTGGTCAAACTGCACCTTGCGGTTATCTAAATTGAGAGGGATGTCTTATCGCTGACTGCCCCTCGAAACCCCGCCATGAGTCGCGTGGGTGGATCCTGGCGCGCCTGCCGGACTGAATGGGGGAAAAAAGAGTTTTCATTTTAATCGCGCATGGATGGAATTCGACCGCGTCAAGTCTCGATTTTTCCATGTAGCGTGTCGGGAGCAGCGCGCACAGATCGGATCCAATCTCCCACCCCATACATGGTGGTGGAAAAACTTTGGGGAGGGAATTGAGGATTCAATGTCTACCTATCCTCGTTGACAGCTATTACCCCGGGGAATGAATTGCCTGCCCGTACAGACAGCCGGTAATTCGAATACCACGCGGGCAACCCAGATTTTGCGTCCGGTGGGGCGTGGCAAAACCATTCTCGAAGAAAGCGTCACCATCACCGTCGTCACCCCCCGAGACCGGCCATGTTTCCATGTTAACGGCAGTTATTTCTGGGTTCGGGTGACTAATATGAACAATCAGCCGAGTCACTGCCGTTCCCTGCCACCGCCTTGGGTGCAAGACGGCGAAGAAAAGGGGAAAAAGGTTCCTTGCACCGGCAACGGGGTAAAGTCAAAGGGGGGAAGGGAAGAATGGACGGGTGAACGGGGTGACCGCGCATGGGAGAAGAGTTCTTGGTGAATGGCAGATGGGTGGTTCCGGAGGGAAGAAGCCCTTATCCATCCAGCTATCCCTGTCTATCCCCCAGACTTTTCGTTTCTCTCTAGGGGAGTACAGTTGTGTGCTGTACTTAGTGGCGACCCTCATCAAGTCTCTTAGTGTCCGATCAAAGGGAGGGGCTCCCGCTGCATCAGCGTCATCATTATGGCTTGCCCTTCCCCAGGGTATTCTGCGACAAATGACAACAGGGCTAAGCCGGGAGATTCAGGAATCCGGGCAAGAATGAGTGGCTGCCTTTCCTGTTCTCCTCGATCAGCCCTGTGGATGTCGTCAAGGTTCTTTCAGGCCTCCACCCGACGAGAGAGCCTCGTCCTTCTGATCGCTCGGATGTCATGGGCAACTCATCCAGCGCATCATAGCTTAATTCCACGCAATGGCGGCAATAGTCGCATCGCCCAAGGCGAGAGAATGTTTCTATAAACAGGCTCCCGTATCGTCTGCGGAGGCGGTCAAAGCCAGGAATAGATGTCCAGAGGTTTCAAATCGCGACTCCTGATTGTGGCGCAGGCTCAAGAAACTGAGGCTTAGCAGTACGAGCAACCGTACTCCGTACACAGTTACACCACTCCTGTCTCAACTTGGTCTATCGTGATCAATGAATAATGAACCAACACATCCAGGATTGCAAATTTGACTGCCAACAAAAACGGGCAGTAGTCGCGGTCAGGCACGAATCAACCCCGATTCTCGAGCCATGGCGTCAATTTCCAGCAAAGGGTGGAGTCGTGGAGATGCGCCCTTTCAAGCGACGAGTGCAGCATCTGGAAACAAATGGGGAAATAATCCCTCACCGGGCCCAAAGCCACAGACAATCAGCTTATCGGAAACATGGCCACAGCCATGGGACTAGCTGTAGATCCCCGCCTCCTGATCAATCACCTTCTCCGCTGCCTTGTCTCCTCTTATCGTCCACTGCCGATTGGCTCCCTGCCCCGGGTCATGACAAACGCTGCTGACTGGTGTCGGGCCGATTTCAGCCTGTGCAGGCTGAGGGGGTAGGAAGTCACTTTCTGAGGGACTCAGCAAGGCTAGAATTGCGCTCGCTCACTGCGTGCGAAGGAGAGAAACCTCTGCGAATTTGGCTGAAGAAAATCGAGCCCGTGTGGCGGGTACAGCAGAAGTTGATAGGAGCTACAGATGGTTGATTGTGCGATGGCCGGGCCGGCCGTCGGGTAAGGACTAATTTGGCTGGTGGATCTCATTATGGATCCAGACGGGGGGGGGAAGAGAACAAAGAACACCTGATATCCCTTTGATAGTGGAAGGAATTAGCATAGTACTAAGTATATTGCAGTTGGTCAGGTTTACAGGGACGTGGTTTTGGGAATTGGAGATTTGCAAAATAGCTCAACACATACAGGAAACGATGATTGTGGTTGAAGGTTGGGTAGTCAGTGGTCGGTCGAGGTTCTAGATGTCGGACTGTATACGGAGTAGCGGGTGTGGGATGACATGCATACTAGAGAGTAGTAAGCTGCGACGCAGACGCTGCAGGTTGAAAGATACCCTGTATTGATAACTTACGTCTATAGAATTTGCAATCCCGATGTGACTCCGTCTGCAAGACGCGTCGGAGATCTATATCCTATCCTCCCCTCCCCTCAACAACCCAACAACCCTTCCAACCACCCAATCTCAATTCCTGTACAGAGTCAAATTGAACAGCCACATCACTTATACCTCCGTGAAGAACCAACGAACGAACAAGAACCTCCACAATGCCTGACCCGAAGTATTCTAACCGTGCGTACAGGATGGTACATGGTACTACTGAAATGACAGCTCTCATCCTGATAGACCAGACAGACCATGTTCGATTTCCGTCCCCCTCCCCACTTTTATCCGGGATGAAGACAGTATACGGGAGATAGGAACAGGAACAGGAACAGGAACGATCTACGGACTACTTCTGTGCCGATTTGCTTGTCCTGGGTATTAGATTTTGGATTTGGTTTTTTCTAACCACTGTTGTGGTTGTGACTCATTCAGCCGACGCGAGACGCGAGACGTGAGCGAGCAAACGAACTACAGCCCTGTTGTCCATGAACGCGTAGAGTTTGGTAGATAATTATCTAGGTATCTGTTATATAAGTTATACACATGCTTTGCAATATAGTACCCCAGATAATCATCAGATAACTAAGTTACTCCCACCGAGCTTACACCTGAAGAATGAATCCAAGTAAGCAAAACAGACAACCCAATCCTAAATCCATACCCTATACAAAGTAAAAGACGATGCAAACTTCCAAAACCAAACTGAAACACAAGAAGCAGCAGCAGCAGCAGCCCTCCTATTCAATCTCAATTTCAAAAATACCCCTCCCTCTAGAGCTAGACAATGTAAGGTAGACCCAGTATCCAAAACAAATTTCAGGCCAGAACAACCACAACCGAAAAAAAAGCTCCATAGTTAGGCAGCTAGCTGTAGTCTACGCAGAGACCCCCATTTAGAGTCATTAGACTAACTTACTAACTTCAAACTACGGAGAACGCTACAGGAATGAACACTTCCTGTAACTACTGGACAGTGCAAGCAAGCAAGTCAAGGAGAGTAATTCGCGCAGTTGATCCGAATCACAATCCCCCTTCAAGGGTTTGACACCTGCATACCGGACTCTGTAATTTTCCTCAAACTGCTCAAGAGTTTTCCAAAGTTATAGAGAATCACAGGAAAGAAAGATTCCCGCATTCCTTCGGCAGCATCATACAAAGGGGGAAAAGGGAAAAAGGGAAAGGGAAAAGGGAAAGAATCGTTTGACAGCTCATGCTTCTTAGGTAGCTAGTAACTTTAGTGTTTTTTGCGCGCGGGAAAAAATGACCCGGCGGCCATCAGCCAACACCTCCAGACGCAAAACTGCTCTGGTAAAACTTAGACACATCCCAAAGTTCTTGCATTTTCATTTCCGTTTCCATTTCCATTCCTATTTCTCCCCTTGCATCTGGTTGGGGGAGGTGGTCAAAGTCCGGGGAGAATGAGGAATGATGGGCGGGAAAACGGAAACGGGGGAAAATCCCTCATACTTACTACCTGCCCCATTTCAAGCACTATAACTTACGGTAAAGAGTGTTGGCTGGATCTACAGGGTCAGAACTGATCGACTTCCGGCAGATGGGTTTGGTTCAGTCGACAACTCTGCAGAAGTTGCGTGGAAATACTGAGGTATCAGATCAGATCACCGCTGGGTAAGTTATCCTTCCTTTCCTTGCCTTACTCCCCGTACGGAGTACTCCGTACAGCCTGCCCCGTTATTGGGTCTTGCCGTCTTTCCAGGGACGGAACCTCCGACTCAGGGTCTTCAATCCTTCAAACACAGGGCAGAAGTTTGGGGGTCATGGTTCGGTCACGGCCGGGTTTTCTGGCTTCTTACTCGATTACTTCAGAAATGTTGCGCGTGCCTGGGTTTGATGGTGACTGGGTAACTATTCCAGCTTACATAGTATGTAGTATCATGGAAGTAAGATCCTGTCTTATATTAGAGCAGAGCTAGCGACGTCCTGCAGGTACAATTGCTCATGAATCAATCATGTTTCGCCGGAGCGGACGGCCCATTTTGCAAATATCAAATCATGGTATCGTTCGGCTCGAGACTCTCGTATCCCCCTGGTCCTCGGCTGGTCCAGGTCCCTAGGGCCGAGGGAGCAATCCCCACGCCGCACGATCTCATGGCACATGACGTGACGCAGCTCTGTGATCTCACATGGAACCACTGAGGAAGTCTCGGGGGTCTGAGCTGAGCATCGTCTCTTCCACATCCGGCTAGGCTCAGATAGCACCAGACGAGTGCCAGTCCAGTGCAGATCAAAGACGCCAAATGGGGATCTGGTGGCCCCCGTACGCCCCATGCAGACACTGCATTGGGACTAAATCTGAGCGACCGGGTGAAACGCTGCTTCCAGAATGGCCAGCAAAGCTTGTTCAAGCCTTCATGCACAAAGAGAGAGAGATAGGACAGGTAACGCATGGCCATCCCTATTACGTCACCGCCTCGTCCGATTGCCAATCGACAGGTCACTATCTGAAGACGATTCTCCCCCACACACCGTGGTTGCAGCGTATCCGTGACCTACCCTCGGTCTGGGGGGTAGGCTATCAGCGGCTCTTGCGCTGCCGGGCCCATCGTAAAACCCACTCTACCAGAATCCCCAAGTCCTGCGAGACTTCTAATACCCTCGCGATGGTCTTCTGCAACTCGGATACTTCATTGTCATGGCCTCCGCTCGCTTGAGTGTCCATCAGATCCATACTGGTGTTCTCATCATCAAACAAACCAGTCATGTCGATGACGGACACGCGACCGTTGAGTCCGACTTCAAGGCTGACAGAGAATTTGCTCAGCGTAGAATATTCTTGATCCAGTGTCGATTTCCCTTGAAGGTTGTCCACAGTGAAAAGGAGCATGATGACCGGGGCTTGACCAAGCTGCGTGCGCAAGGTCACGTCTACTTTGACGTCATCCTCGGTGGTCGAATCATCGTCAGAGCTTCCGTCCATAGCACCTTTCCCCTTGCCTATGGTATGAGCACCTGCTTGTCCAAAAGTTCCTGCTTGTCCAAACCCTCCAAGCAATGAGTTCAACCTCTTCTCGTTGGGATCGTCATTGCTGAGAATAATGATGTCACCCTTGGTTATCGTCTGCGATCTGTTGGCATTCGAGAGATTGAAGAACCCTTTGTAAAGATCTTCCTGTGCATGAAGTTTGTCGTTGTCGGGCTTGGGCGTAGTAGTGAAGATGCCACGAATCAAATTCGCCAGGAACGCGTACTGTCGTAAGATCTAACAAAGAAATCATTAGTATGCCCACATAATAAGCACAATACGACACAGGGTCCGTACCGGAAGTATGTCTGCAAGCTGTCTTGGGTGCGAGAACGGAATGTCTCTCAGAGTCCGACCTGCGACAGATTCGAATGGCTGGAACGTGTAGCAATGCTGTTTCTTGCACGGCTTGCCATCTTTGTCAATGGTCTGCAACGACAGCCTACGGCTTCTGCGACCAAGCTGCGATGCTTCTTCAGGTCCCAGTCCCATCGCACCAGCCGCCGATAATGGCGACCAGCCAGGGGCCAACAGTCCATCGTATGTGACCATCTTGAATTCCGGAGGTAACTGCATGCCGAGATGGCGGTAGATATCTGACGCCGCCAAGATGGGGAGATCCAGCGGCGGTTCCATCCTGGCCACAAACCGGCGGTTGGGCGCAGAAGAGCCCAGCATGTTCGAGTCGAGCGCCATGGCGTCCGAGTGGCTTTGCGCGGCCGCAATCATCACGGTTTCGGGGGGCTCGGCCCAGTTGACCACAACTCCCTCGGAAGACCCGGCCGACTCACTCGAGGAGGGGCCATTCTCGCCATTGTGGACTGCTGTCAGAACCTCCGCGGCAACCCAGTCTTTCGACACGCGAAGAGATGGATATCCCTCCTCGCACTCGACCACAACGCTCCACTTGCCCTTTCGCGCGGCCTCGTCTTCCTCCGCCGGCTGATCGACGACCATCTCGTCGTCGGAGGCGGATTTATGCTTCGCTTGCTTCGCATCCAGGACCCGCGCCTGCTGCACCCAGTAATCGAGGCCGAGCCCCACGCGACCCCCCTTGTGTAGAGACGGCCGACCGACCCAGCCACTGCAGAGATGATCGTAGACGCCCAAGAACTTGCGCTGATCCGACTCCGCCTCCCACACGCGCTTCAAGCTCTCATACAAGCCCTCGATCGCCTCAAAGCAGTTGACCTCCTGACTGAGTCTATCATGGCGCGCCAGCCACTGCAGGTTCTCATGGAACCCGGTCAGCGGCTTCCACGCGCCCCGCTCGCCGTCCGCGGGGGACTGGATCAGGTCGCGCTTCAGCACGGCCGTCGCCTCCTCGCGCTGTTCCCCGTCGGTCGACTCGGGCGTCACGTAGCTCAAACTCACCTCCTTGACGACATTGTGGCCGCGGTGGAACTCGATTTCGAGATCCACAAAGTTGCCGGCGATGCTGAGGCTGTCCTCCTGCCAGATCGACTCGAACCCTTCGAGCTGGCCCAGGCGCTCAATGCCCTCGCGGCAGACCCCGCGGCCCGCGATGCGCGTCCGCAGCAGCTGCACCACATCCTCAATGTGTCTCTTCCGCTCCTCGTCGTTGTCCCGCACGCCGCCCCCGCCGCCCAGTTTCAGGCCCTGCATGCCCAGCGCCTGGATGTCGCTGTCGTTCATCCCCGCGCCCACCAGGCCGCCGTCGTGGCCGGCCGGCGACGGGCTGATCCCGCTGTAGCCACCGAGCGCGAGCAGAGCCGACGGCGAGCTCAGAGTGACGGGGTCGTCGGCCCCGGTTGTCGCCGCGAGCGGGGTGGCATAGTGGTGCGCCGAGGCGTTGGCGGGGTTGCTGCTGTTGGGGGGTTGGATGTGACCGCCCGGTCCGGAGACGGAGGGGGTTCTCCCCGCGGGTGACTTGTGGGCGATGGGGCGGGCTGGGTGCGCGCCAGCTGGACGAGGCGAGGAAGTCAGGTAGGTCGGTGTTGCTCCTGGGTTCGGCTTGGACGATGGCGTCGCCATGACGGGCTCTCTCTCTGTGGTTCCCTTGAGAAGTCAAGGCCGGAGCAGAAATCGTAGTCCGCACTTTGTGCGATCAAGAAGAGAAGACAAGCTGAGAGGTGCGAAACTTGGATCCGGGTATCACAAAAGAGAATAGAACCACACTTGCTAAGGCAGAGCCATACGGACTCAAGTCGTTCTTTACGCGGGAATGCAACCGGTAACGAAAAGAAGAAGCAACGGGCCTTAGCGACCCTAAATAGTATCTCCAAGGAAAGTGACTCGACAAAAATAGATCATCAATTAGGAAGCAAGGAAAGAGAGAGGGAGGGAGGGAGAGAAATCCCCCACAGAACCGTTAAGTTGACAAGGACAAGGAAGTGAGTTGAGCGAGTTGCCTTCAAGGTCATGTCATTCAATGCGGGCGGAGCTGCTGCTTCCAGCCCGCCCGAAAACGCGCAATCACATGAGTTTGTCTGGTTTGTTCTACAATCGTCATCGGCCCCGGGGTACAAGCTTGCGCTTCATTTATTGTTTCGACTCGATGTCCGAAGATACCACTAGGATCAATCATCCTTGATTCCTTTTTCCTCCCTCAGCATGTTCGCTCTTAGGAATTCAGTGCGCCGAATGCCCCAGTGGGCACAGGTTCGTTCTGTGTCGACCTTGGAAGGCAATCCTCACATAGTAAGTGCATCCTTCGAGCCACTGGCGCAGCGTCGCGAGCTTTAATAGAAGCCATTTCGCTTCTCTTGTTCCTCTTTTGTGCTAACAACCTCTCACAGTACGTATTCCCCAAGAATGGCACCAACATACTGTCCTTGCTTCCTTCCGAGCCAACCAACCCCGACCTGGCCATCGGTGTCTCATCCAAACTACCTCCGACGCCAGATTCGTTTAAAGAGAACCCCAAGTTCCTAGAGACTTTGCAAGATGTCATGACTGAGCACGGTCACAAAGACCCCGACGCTATATCGCAAGCACAGGTCATGGTGTCTACGTCAGGAGCTAATTTGAGCACCGGCGGGGTGCTTTTGACCGGGGGACGGGAGAGGAAACGCCGCAGCGAGGGCGATTCCAGCGGCGGAGCCAGTGGCCAAGGCGGCGCTGGCTCCGCTGGGAGAGGTGGTTGGATTCATCTTTCGGATAACCGACGGCCACCTGAGTATGGCCGTATAGCTTGGTATGGATGGTGTCCGGCTTGTGGTGTAAACCAACGACTGATCGAATGAACATAGGCCCGAAGATATCTTTGGGAGCTTGGAAGTCGACGGCGAAGGAAACTTCGTGGGTGGGAACGGTAACTACCAGTCGAGCGGTATGTACTCCGTTATACAAAAAGCTCTTCACCGACCCAAGCTGACGAACCCGACAGGGACGTATCGCGTGGTGACTCGGGATGGAATGTAAGTCATGCAAGCACCGTCATTTTGGACCCAAAACTAATCAGGGTATAACAGTCTGGGGCTGAGCCCATTTTTGCGGGAAAAGCTGGTGCAAAAGCTGCGCCAGCAGGAGACGGGATCATTTTCCGTCGGTAGTGACCATGTACAATAGACCCTTGCTGTCCTCATTGCCGTCTCCAAAGACTGCACTGATCCAAAAACTGCTGGACAGTTGACACAATCTGTAAAATAGACTCGAAAAATGGGACAACGCCGCTCAGAGACCAGCTCATAATTGCCGACGACCCAATCCACGCCAAAATATACTTTGCTGCCAAGCCAGATGATGGAAAAAAAAGTCACTTTTGAAAGAAATTCGTTATAGGCTGAGTCCCTGCCGCCGCTTTCTTCTGCTGGGGCTTTTTGGCCGGCTTCTGATTGTGGGTTGCACTTCGCATCTGCTTTCCTCGACTTGGTGCTTGTGTTGGACTTGCTTTCTGCTCGGTGCCCTGATCCGGTGAGGCTGGCGGGCTAGGCTGAGTCTTCTGCCTCTTCGCAGCTTCATCCTCGACTTCCGCAGGACTCTCTGCCGGATGCTCCCGTTTGACCCCCGTAGCCGGCAGCGGAGCATTGTCCTCGGTCCACTCAGTGTCTACCGTGTCCCGATGGTCCGGTTCATCCTTGACGGTTTTGTCGTCCGAATCTTCTTTCGACGGTGCATCACCACTCTCCGGCGCAGCCTTTTTGGCATTGGCGAAGAAATTGGCAATATTGCTCTTGTTCTCCTTACTGCTCACCGGCACGATGAAGTCCGGGGAGTTGTTCCCCACCTTCCCAACCTCCTTCGGCACCTGATAACACTCCAACTCGCCCTCGTACGGCTTCAACATGGCTTGCAATTCCTTCGACCACGTCGTCCGGCCCGGATCCAGCCACCGGTTCATCGCGTCGCTGTTAGGCTCGAGAATCACAGGCATCCGATCATGTAGAAACCTGAGGTACGGATTCGAGGATGTTGTAATGATCGTAAACGTATAGAGCTCTTCATCCGACCCTTTCCCCTCTCCCGTTCGCATTAGCATTAGCTCCAAAAAACCACGTACAAATCCCCCCCCAACCCGGGGGCTCCTGCAACAAAAGCAGAGAAGAGACTCACCTTCATACCTCACACAATCCCACAACCCGGCAAAACACATCAGATCCCCATCCCTCCGCCGCACAAAATGCGGCACCTTCTCTTTTCCTCCCGGTCCCTTCTTCAACCACTCAAAGAACCCCTGACAGACGACGACGCAGCGCTTCTTGCGCTTCATCGACGTCCACATCCCGCGGTCCTCGAGCAGCGAGTCATCCCGGCAGTTGATCGTGCGCATCAGCGACCCGTAGTCGGGCTTGCGCTTCGTCCAGAACGGGATCAGGCCCCATCGCATACTTTGGATTTTGTAGCGGGGGCGGTTGCTGACATTCTGCTTATCAGGACTTGGCGGGTGGGTGGTGGTGGTGGGGTCTTGTTGGGGGTTAGTAGGGGTCTCATTGTCGTCGTGCTCTGGTGGCTCATGCTGCTGCTCGTGCTCGTGCTCGTGCTCTTCAACGCCAGTGGATGCTGTGTCCACGCGGTACACCGCGCCATTGTTGCCCGGCGCGAAATTATATGTTTCGCGCACCTCGTCGTCGTCCGGGACTTCGTCGACGGGCATGCCCTGTTCTTGGAGACGATGTCGAACGAAGTTCATGCGCTTTTGGTTTGGGGAGGGGATTGTTAGCTCATCTTGGCCTGAATACTGATTTGCTCGGAACTATAAATGTATAGATGGAGTAGAGGTAGGGGGGGGCTGGTTGTATTGAGGTCACGTACCACGCCTAGTGCATATCGTCCACACATTATGCCCGTGTTAGATTTGGCCTCGAGTATATCGAAGATCGAAGATTATGCGATAATTGCAAGTAGAGATGCTACCTTGAAGAAAGACGGTAGCTGCGACGTCATGTCATTCAGCGCCGTGCGGCGGAGGAGAAGCTCGGACCATTCTGCTTTAGGTCATACAAAATCGTCCCGCCGACAACCTCCGCTCCGCTGCTTGTCCTCCATACAACCATCTTTCTTCTTTCACATCCACGCTTCCTCTCCTCAAATACCATCAATTAAGGAGACTCACGGAAAACTTGACTCGTCTCGTCAAAATAATTCCGTTGCTATCAAACACCAACACAGATACTGAAGACGAACCGCCCAAATGCTCAGCACGCTCTCCCGGCGCGCCGCCACCAGCGCCCTCCGAATCCGCCCCCTCACACCCCAGAATGCTCGCCATCCCTTCTCAACAACACGCATCTCCTCCCGACCGCGCCTGACGGCCACGACGACGATGACGACCCCACTCACCCTGCAATCCACAAGCCTCGCCACCCAACCAGCTCGGCGCACGCTCACCACGGCCCAAAAATGGAAGCTGGGGTTCCGCAAAGCCCGCAAGGACATCTGGCGCAAGAACCCGATCGTACTCCCCTTGGCCCTGCTCTCCGTCTTCAGCGCCACCTGCCTGTTCGCCTACATCGCCTACGTCGAGGTGACGCAGGTCGCGCCGCAGTACAGCAAGTTCCCGCCGCCGATGGCGGAGCGGCTGCGCACGGCGGTCTACTACACGGACGTGGACCTGCAACCGCAGAAGGCGATGGCGGCGTACAAGGACGCGATCCACATCGGGCTCGAGATGGGGCTGCACCAGTATTCGGACGAGATCCTGGGGGTCCACCTGCAGGTGTCGCATATGCTGGAGAAGGCCGGGTTGGTCTCGGCGGCGGTGAAGGTGCTGGAGCAGACGCGGGCCGGGGCGCTGGCCTGGGTGTATCGGACGCGGCGGGCACGGTCGCTCCCGCAGAAGCCGATGGTGGCCACGCCCGTGGATCCCAACGACGCCAGCAAGGAGGCAGTGGAGAAGCGGATCCGCCAGGCGACCGGCGAGGACGTCGGTGAGAAGGATGCTGTGAAACGGGACGACGAGCAGCCCGGCGCAAGTACCGCGGATCCAGCCAAGGAGGCCGAGTTCCAGGCGTGGGAGGACCGCCAGCAGAGCAAGGTGCTCAAGAAGTGCGTCGGCATGTCGATGAAGCTGGCCGAGCTATACGAGAGCGACTACATGCAGGATTTGGAGAAGGCGGAGGAGAACCAGCGGCAAGCCGTGGAGCTCTGCCTGACCGAGATGAACCGTCGGGTGGCCCTGGGCCTCCCCGTGGGGAACCAAACAAAGGCAACACCACCACCACCAACAACAACAACAACAACAAGCGCCGAGGCTACCGACGAGGACGATGGCTGGATGAACCTTGAGGAGATCGCCATCGCCCTCAAGGACCTGGCCAACCTCTACTTCACCCAGGGCAAGTACGACCTCTGTCTGCCGCTGTTCATCCGGGCCAGCGACGTGATGAAGGCCGCGGAGGGCGACACCCCGACGTGCAAGCAGCCGTTCCTGATGGCCTCGATCGGCGCCACCATGGGCGAGATCGCCGCGGCCCCCAAGCCGACCGCCGGGATGCGGGCCCCGCGCGAGCAGGTGATCGCGCAGGCCCGCCAGTGGCTCGACCAGGCCCGCGCCGTCGCGGGCAAGATCGACCCCCAGGGCCAGGAGGCGGAATGCAACGAGGCCTGTGTGGCCGCGCTGCAGAGTCTGGGCGAGCTGGCGCGGCTGGAGAAGAAGCCGGACGTCGCCAGGGAGCACTACAAAAATGCACTGAGCATCGCGCAGCGCCTGGACGAGCCCGGCTTGGTGGAGGGGGTCAAGGCGGCGCTGAAAGAGATCAAGACGCAGTGAATGCCATAGCTAGGCCATCCATGCACTGTACCTGTGGCCGTGCATACGCATCTCCCCATAAAGATAAAAGAAAATGTACATTATTCGACTCTGACAGTCTGGACCCGGTGCATGTATGTGCATCTACCAAACGTAAAGCATGTCTTCGGAGGTCATCTTACGAAATCTGAGGCGAACGAGGGTACCTAGTAGGTTCCAGTTCTGACCGCCTCCAGCTCCATGCCCTTTCTGCCGCCTCCTATTTTGGAAATTCGTGTAGCTAGCTGGTAGTTAGGGTACTTAGTGGTGCGAGTCGACATAGGCGCGCGACGATCTAGACAGTAGACCGATTGCTCTAGCTGACTGGACTATGACTTCATCGAGAGAGTACCCACCAAGGCACTAAGTCTAGAACCAACTACGAGACCGATTATATCAGACCCCAGGAGGGGGAGGGGGGGCAGAGATATAAGTTTTTTAACATCTTTTGAATGGTATTCGAACAATCCACCTCTCATCGTTCACAAGGATCTCCCTGGCAATCCGTCGTGTTTCAAGACCACGAATCGAGTAGGAGCTAGACATGGTGAAGAGAGACAAACGATAACCCGGGGGAAAGAAGCCCGAATGAACAGGGTGGGTATAGAGGGGGGAAATTGGGGGGAAGGCGGTGGGGATAGGGTGAGTTTTGGGTGTGAGTTAGAAACACCAGGCGGAAGAAAAACCCAGAGTGCTTTTTTTATCATTTGCTCATGGCTCATACATCCCAAACCAATGCCTGCCCTTTTTATTTTTGATCTTGGGAAAAAAAAAGAAAAAAAAATAACAAACATGAGTTCAAGTTGATATTGTCTCTCTCTCTCCTCGCACACTTTTCCGCCCCGACCAAAATCCTAATTAAGCTTTAAGGGTTGGGTTGGAGCATATTTATGCCCGCGACATGACACCCCAGGCACGGATCTTGTTGTCAGTGTAACCAGCGAACAGAGTCTGGCCATCAGCGCTCCAGGCCAAGCTGATGCACTCGGGCTCGCGGCTCTTCTTGCCCTTCTCGATGAACTCGGGCTTGAGCTCATCAACCTTGCTCTTCTTCTCAAGGTCGAAGATGGTGATGCTGCTGGCGGTAGCAGCGCACAGCCAGTAGCGGTTGGGGGAGAAGACGAGGGCGTGGATCTCGTCACCGGCCTGGAGGGAGTAGAGGTGCTTGGACTCGTTGAGATCCCAGAGCATGGTGGTACCGTCCTTGCCACCGGAGGCGCAGAGGGATCCATCGGGGGAGATGGTAACGGTGTTGATGTAACCGGTGTGACCGATGTGGTCGGTCTGGAGACGGCAGGAAGCGAGCTCCCAAACCTATTTGATGGATTGCGGGTTAGTCTTCATTCCAAAGATCAAGCATTGGATGAACCAGAAATTCAATTCCACCATTCTCGCAACCACAAACAGCAAAAAAACAGGTCGATTGTCCATCAGGCATTGGGTGATTGTTTGTCTCATGGCCGGAAGGCTCTGAAGTAGCAAATACGTAGATATGCAAACATCCTCTGGACGAATCGAAGAAAGAAAAAAAAATAACCGAGGCAGACCGAAAAATCGAACGTACCTTGACGAGCTTGTCCCAACCGGCGGAGACAATGACGGGGTTCTGGGGGTTGGGGCTGAAGCGAACGCAGGAGACCCACTCGGAGTGACCCTTGTCGGTGATGGTGAACTTGCAGTCACCGAGGGTGTTCCAGAGCTTGATGGAGCGGTCACGGGAAGCGGAGACAATCTGGCGGTTGTCGGCAGAGAAGGAGACGGAGAGAACGTCGTTGGTGTGGCCGACGAACTTGCGGGTGGTCTCACCGGTGGAGAGCTCCCACAGGCGGAGGGTCTTGTCCCAGGAGGAGGACAGAGCGTAGGCACCGTCGGAGGAGATCACCTATACAAACGAAGCCCGCACACGGTCAGCCCATCATTCCTTTTTGCTTTCGTTTCTGACCCTTTCCCTGATCCCGAACAGCCTGGATTGGCAGTCGCTTGGCCTTCGGGTTGGACACGGATAGTTGGAGGATGGAACGGAGATCGGTAGCATACACAGTCAGAGACGATGTGAGAGTGGCCCTCAAGGCTGCGCTTGGGGTAACCGTAGGCCTGCTCATCGCGAGTAAGGTTCCAGATGATCAAGGTCTTGTCGCGACTGGCGGAGAGCAGCATGTTGGGGCTAGAAGTCACAAGAACAAGAAAATGTCAGAACTCATGTTGTCCATATCAAACTATCATTTTTTTTCTTCTCTCAACCTAGTGCGATTTTGTTGCCATCATTTCATGATTCCTGTTGCGGACAATCAAACAACCTATATATACCACTCCAAACCTCCGGTCTTTCTTTTGTGGCTTTTTGGGGCGTAGCATATATAAAATTGTTCCATCGCCCTGCACCATTCCTCGCAAAACTCGCAAACAAAAATCGCACTTCGGTTGAGGTTGTGTGGTAGGTTTTTTTCTTTCTTCGGTATGTGTGTTTGGTATGCCCTTACTTCTCCAGAGAGGTGGCAAGGGAGGTAACCCAGCCATTGTGACCCTCGAGGGTGCCGCGGAGGACCAGTTGCTCAGCCATGTTGGAGTCTGGGTGACGATGAGGAGAGAGGGATGAACGCGGGCGGAGCAATTGTCCTTGACTCTGGGCTGGGAAGTAAAAATGCACACAGCAACTGTTTCGAGGATGGAGGAGACAGCGTGCCCGCCTGAGCCCTAACTAGCGTGCCCGCCCGACTGGTTGTTGTGCGCCTCGCCCAACCCTAAGCCAGGACAAGCGAGTCACGTGGCACTGCTGCTGACTCACCCTGGCATAACCCTCCAGCCTGTTAGTTATGCATCCTCCGCTCCCGTCGACGATCGATCTACCCCGGTCTCCAATATTCCCCGGTCCAGTCAAAGTCCAGTTTACATGCAGTGTTCAATTCCGACTATCAACGTAATATACATACTCAGAATATCAGTCCTAGCGCACCTTCATTTTATATAGTACACGCAAGCCTCACTCTCCTCTAGTTAAACACCTGCACATTCGGCATCCTTCCCAACCCAGCACCCCCGGTCTTCTTACTCTTGGCCGCATGGAAGCCCGTGGCACTGTTATCGCGCACATGCGCCCGGAGCAACTCCAGCACCTTCGACTCCTTCCACCGCGACGGCACGGGCCGGTAGGCAGCCTTGTAGGCGCCCACGGTCTGCGCCCACTCGCCGCTCTTGGCTCCAGTCTGCTTCCAGGTCTCGGTGACAGTATCCTGGGCCCCCTGGGCCGTGGACGAAGGGGACTGCTCCCCGCCATCGGCCGGGGGATCCTGCGTAGCCCAGTAGTAGATATCCCAGTCGTTCTCGTCGAGGAAGCGGTCGTATTCCTGCAGCTGCGCCTGGTCCATCTTGCCCAGGTAGACGTCGGCGAAGGTCGACAGCAGCAGGTCGGACTCGAGGATGCCGCGCTTTCGGCTCTGATCTGTTTGCAAATACCAATGTCAATTAGCGATATATCTCCGACACGACACGCTCTCGGGGTTCGAACTAACAAGCCCGCACAAGAGGTGATTTGAATAGTGATGCCAGTAAAGAGGCAAGGGAAAAAGACATACACAACAACCGAGCGCGCATGGTCGTTACATCCTCGCCCGATCGGCGGAGAGGCTCAACCCGGAAGGTGATACCCTCCATCTCGCCGACACCCAGCTCCGGCTTCTGGGCCCCGGTCTCCTCGCGCCCTCCGGTGAAATGCTCGACCTTGCCGGGGTACGGGTCCGCCGGCTTGTAGTTCGGGTCGACGGCGCCCACGAGGTCTGGAGGCGCGGACTTGGCGCCCACCTTGGGGAAGTCCTTGGTCATCGTAGAGGTCGTGTTGGGGACATTGGGGTTGTGGGGCTTGTTGATCTGGTTCTCTCGGTGCTGGGGCGCGGTCGAGGGCGCGCGATCCTTCACGGCGCTATCGCCGTTGAGACGAACAGCCGAGTTGCCGAAAGAGCGACGGGCAAAAGTGGTCGTTGTGGTAAACGAGAGGGAAGATGCGGATGGCCGCACAAAGCGGTGGACAAGTCTGGATGCGGACATCGTGGCTATGTGTCAATATCCCGAATGAGTTACTGGGAGCAAAGAGAAAGTCCTGAGGATAATGATTTTTTGATCGGAGTCTGGGGAAGTCCGTCGGTAATCGAGCAATTGATCCGGCGAAGAAAGACCGGGTTGACATCATCCGCAGATGCAGCTGTTTGCTGTGTTTGCACGGCACGATGCACCAACCGCGACCTGCCGATTTCGAAAAGTGGCAGCTTTCGCCTCTGATGCTATTATGACTTCAGTCGAGGATTCTCTTCTCATTGGGAAACTGTGGGAGCTGTTGGAGAGAAACGGTATCCTATTCGCTGATCCTAGGAGGTTTGGATGCTAAGTGTCATGTCTACTGTTGATAATCACCAAGTGCGACTCACCCACCACGGCTGTCATAGACTACAAACGATCAAGAAGCTGTATATCAATGCAATTGGAAGAAAGTCCATATATTGGTCATGACAAGTAGAGAAGCATCAACCTGTAACCTCCTCCATCCCCACAAAATACACCCCAAGCTACAAGAAAGAAATCTAGATAAGGTGCTTGGATCTGTACGCAAAAAGAATGAAAGGCTTAGCCAACCCTTGCTCGAATCCAGATCCCCATATACGCAATGAAGCAAGAGAAAAGAGAAAGGAACATACCTGAAGTAGGCCCGCAGATAGACCACCTGCCAAGCGCCCAATCCAACCAACATGCCCATAGTGCCGAAAGCGAACCACTTGACACGCTCGTTCGTGCTCTCGTTGGTGTCGCGCAGCTTCTGCTCACGGGCGCGCAGGTATTCCATCTCGCTAACGATCTCCGCGACCATCTCCTCGATGCGACGGAGGTCGGTCTCGACGGGCTTGAGCTTCTCCTGAACCTGGATGCTGGACCAGTCGCGGGCGTCGGCACCGATCTCGACGTCGAGCTCGATCGACTTGTAGGGGTTGGGAATAGCGTCTGTACGATCACCCCCCAAAGATGATTAGTTATGCATTCCACTGGGCACGTTCTTTCGGAAGTCTTCAGGGGAGAGCAAGGTGAGACGTACGGCGGGTGGTCAACTGGTTGTCGAAGCAAACATCAAAGGCAGTGTCGGCAGGGGCAGTGAAGGCCTGGCGAGTCTCTCCGGCAATGTCCTTGGGACGACCGTGCTCATTGCCCAGGGCATCCTTGATCTATTCCCAGCATATATAGTTAGCTGATTGCGTGTCCCGACCCAGTCCTTCGAAGGTCCCTCGAGAATCACGACTAGTTCGATGCTTGCTCGATCCGACGTCACAGAGATAGCTCCGGGATTATTGCCACGTACGTGCATGTTGACCACTTGTCCGTCACCCTTGTTGCCGCTGACAATGGCAGTGACTACAACCAGCTGGTCCTTGAAGACGAAGTTGCGGATACACCGTTCATTCTTTCCACTGACGGCAGACAGGTCAAACTTGAGAGCGGAAGAGAGTTGAACAAAAAGAAGAAATAGAAGGCCAAGAAGGGACCTCATTGTAAAGTGAGTTGCCGCCATTGTTAACGGCGATTGTCGCAGCGGCCGACAGTAAAGTCTAGGAAATTGACAACGAAGCTCGGAAGCGGCCAGTATTATTGATGCCACGCCGCGCTCCAGGGGACCGGGCAAGGCCGGCATAACATTGATCCGGTTATCGGCCCCCCTTCCCGTTTCAGGTTGAATCAACAATGCCTAGTCTGGATATCTTGGCCGCAGCATCGTACTTATACTTTATGCGATATGGATATGGCTGCAAGTAGTGACAGTATACGAAAGTCTTCATCCCTGGTCGCAGACACTATTCAAATGTGTCAGGCAGCTACATTATGTTACTATGTACAGTATCGGCAAAGGTGCCCTATTCCTCGATACAAAGTAGGATGTAAAGATGGCTCGAACCAAAAGTGATACCATAGGATGTAGATCCCAGATTGCAAGATTTTGGATTGGAATTAGTGGCCCTTGGGGTCATTGACACGAAAAGAAGAAGAAAAGCTGAGAACACAGGGGAATCAACTAAAAGTAGAAAAGAGAATCGCTGCAAGCGAGGGGTGATATTGTTCGAACAGAACATGGCCAACGAGGGTATGGAGATGTGAAAAGATAGAACAAGGAATAGTTCCAATGTTAGGAATAGTGTCATTATGGACAGGAAATGGTAAAGAATTGAAGGTAGAGGTATCATCATCAAAAGTCACAACGCTCAGAAAGACAGGTCATTGCCAGTGATAGCATGTCGTGTTCAGGGTCGCAGAGAAAGCAACAGCTGTCCTCAAAGAAAAAAGAAAGTCACGGTGGCATGAATCAGACCTCGATCTTCTTTCGACGTGCGAAAAGGCGCGAGAAGCCTGATTCCTTCGACTTAGTTGGGGGAGCGGTTTGCGTAGGTCTGGTCACTGGAGGCTCAGGAGGGCCAGTATTCCTCAGAAAGTCGGCTAGCGCACTAGTCTCGGTTTGCCTCTGAGAGACAGACGGTAAGCCGTAGGCAGCATTCATGGATCCACCAGATTTAGTCGTATAGTTGTTGTTTGCCCCAGTCATATAAGTATCGGACGCTTGGCGGGGGGAGTTCCTTGAAGGTTGTGCGAGGACGTTCTTCTCGGTAGCCGTGGTCCGAGTGAGCAGGGTCTTCACAGATGAAGCACCAGCAAAGCCAGCAGATGAGCCCCGCCGGGTACCCACATTCGTAGTCAAAGGTTGCGGTGGAGCTGCAGACGCAGGGGGTGGTACATTTCGCAAGAAATCCATCAGACTTTCCTCATCGCGCTTTGGTTTCGCGGGTTCGAGAAGATCTTCAAGGTCGTCATCATCCGAGTCAATTGCATAGGGGTCTCGTACGCGACGCTGCGTTCGTTTCGGTCGCATATCTTCCGATATCTCCTTGCTATGTGGGGTGGGAGTGCTTGACCGAAGACCTGTCTCCAGAAGGCCGGTATGGGAGCCAACGGAAGTTAGTGTATTCGCCGTCAGCGATCCTTGCATACTCGGACGCCCCGACTCTAGAGCCTGCAATTCGTCTGAGTCCATAGTGTCGCGGAATGGCGCCACCGCACGTGAAATCCGGTGAGCACCGGGAGTAGGCGGTCCCTCGCGGATAAAATCGATCAAATCGGAGGTCTGATCTCCTTTGGGGGCCACAGCAGGGCGTGCTTGCAAACGTGCACTGCTGTTACGAGCTGAAGCACTCACTGGTCTGGAGACCCTGCGTGAGACATCGGTCGCATCAGAAACGCGGCGCACGCTTGATGGTTTGCCAGAACCACTTTTGTCAAACCCAGTGATCGTAGGGGTACCTGAGCCAGTAGAATTGATGGATGTCGGTGATACAATACTCTGCTCAGTGGTGGGCTGCGGTGGGAGTACAGCAGGCACCACGATGGGGGTGTATTTGGGTTGGTCCGATGATTTGCACTTGGACATGGGAGCAAGGTCCATGATGCTTTTGGAAGATGCGTGAGATGTTCTTGGTCGCGCGAAATCCGATTCAGACGGGGTGGTCTGCTGGGCTCGCCATCTGGGTGAATCAGGCAGCTGGTTTCACAGTTAGTGACATTCCTTGACGACTTGGGGGTTGAGGGGGTCCAGACGTACCTCCATTTCTCTCATGTTTCTAGGAGTCAGTGTGAAGTGTAAAGTTTCTTCGCTGCGGATAAGCTCATCTAGGCCGGTGGTGTCATCGAAGGCTGACTCCTGAGTTGACACCCTGCTTATCTCAGACGAGTTCCGCAGGCGCAAAGAGTTGGAATCCCCGGTACGGACGATCAGGCCCTTTAGCTTGCTTGAAGCAGATGATGAGCCGGACGTCACAGGACGCCTCTCGCGGCTGCTGCCGAAACTGTCCGAGCGGCGCGGTTTGGAATAGCTTGAAGATGCCACCGAGGTGGATGGTCGCCCTGACAGTCTTTGAACGGCGGCACGCTCAATGCCGGATTTGACCGATGAGATTCCAGGGCTGGATCGCCCGTAGCGATGATTGGTACCGTTGGAGAGAGGGCTAGATTTGGGTAGTTTCCGCGAAACGTCCGAGGAGGCGCTATCTCCAGAGGTTGAAAGGGGCCTGGAGGCCTTGTACGAATGACCGTCATCGGTCGAAGATCGAGTGGTAGGAGGGGCTACAGACTCCTCGGATGATAACTCGTCGAGATCGACAGCGGGCGCTACCGAGACGGAGTCAGCCCCTTGCGTCGGCGGTGCGTCTTCCTTGACCGTTGACCCAAATTGTTCATCCACCAAAACAGGAGTAGCAGGCGGTGACCGCTCTTCGTAAATCGATGATTCTCGCATCGTTTTTGGTCGCGGTCGCTGCGCAGAAGCCAATCTGGGTCTCGCACGTGTCCCTTGGCCCTCGAGGATTTCTGTCTCGATCGGTGACGTTGGGGAGACCGGAGTGATTACCTCGTGGGCAACAACAGAGGTGGCTAGAACCGTGGTCGTCTCCGGCACTGCTTTTGTTTCTTCGTCTACATGGTTCACGAGTTCTATAGCTTCCTCCTTGCGTCCCTGGTCGGCATTTCGCTCGTCATCTTCGTCATGTTCGTACATTGTCTCCAAGCGCCGCCGCTCCTCGGATGCAGTCGGTGACGGTCGCTCTGGAAACTGCTCAGGTTCTGGAGTCTCCTCCCCGGGTCCAGCGTTGGGCAACGATCTTGATCGAGCATGACGGGTGATTGTCACGGTCTGTAGCTTAGGGGTAAGGGGCGAGTTGCCGTTCGATGATGGCGATCTCGGGGAAGGCAGTGTGAGTACCATAAGACTATGGGGACGAACTTTGTGGGCTACTACAGCCTGCATGGTTTGAATCTCGCCAGTCTCAAGCTCTGGCAGATAACCAGGGACCTCAATTTCCTGAATATCGTGGTCATTAAGCGGCAAGGGCACCAAGGTTGGGTCGACGTCTTTTGGTGTTTCGGGGACTGGCGAGGTTGCCGAACGGACTGAAAATTCATCCGCGGTGAAAACGCTGCTCTTCCTACTGCCGGTTGTGGTGAACACGCTATGGCGGCGGCGCATTGATTCTCGTGAAACTGCCCGCGACAGGTTGGACCCTCGGACGCGTTTGCGCCATGTTCGCCAGAGTCGACCCAATGTCGGGTTCAAGGCCAATTTTTCCATGTCATGGTCCTCCACAACCAGTCGATCCATACTTGCACGATTGATACCAGTCTCCATAGATTGTTCGGAATCCTGCTCGAGTTTTGTCGACAGTCGTGATCGAGCTGTCTCACCCGCGATGACCAATGCTTGCTCGCCCAAATACTCGATGATCGAAGTCAAGAAAATGGCTGCGGCGGGTGTGATATTTCCTACGTGACTGGCCAGTCTTCGCGGGACGCCGTCCTCGTCAGCTAGGCCTTCCCGTGCGATATGCTCTTCCTCCTCGTCCTCTTCCATGTCACCCAGTCGCGTGTAAACCATACATCGCAGGCGAGTGAGCTTCCACGAACGAATCAGGTCGAATTCACCGCCAGGGGTCTGGCCGCCACGGAACTCAAGCTGCTCGTCTTCCGGGCCACCCAAGACCTCACTCAACTCATCGTCCGCTGCCTCTACCACTTCCTTGGCGAGGCGTGGCTTCAGAACGTCTGCCACCGCTGGCCGGATGCAGGCCAACTGTGTCGACCTTGCTGCAGCTAGTATATCAAAGAGAAGGTAGTCAAGGAATCCGTTGAGGGCTGACAGAGCCTCGCGGGTCACAAAAGCACTCGCAGGAGAGCCCGGTCCATCTTCATCGGCAACAAAGTCGGCCGCGTTGAATTCCTGGTCTGTGGTGATAATCTGGGCTGCAGCGGAAGAGGCGATAAAAGTGGGCGGTGGTGTAACTACTGTGGGGGCGAGCAGATGGGCTCGGGGGAGTTGGGAATCGCTGGAAACACTGGTGCTGCGCGAGCGCGAGACCGTCCTCCCCAGCTCCGGAGAATCGGGTCCTTTGCTGTGCTGCATGGTCGCAATGCGAGGATCACATACAGTCGCAAAGAGGTCGGTCTGAAGAGCGCGGATCGAACAAAGAAGACGGGAGCGGGGTGTATTATTATTCGGAGTGCCCAGCAAGCTTGGGAGCGAATGATGGAGACTTTAGTATCCTGAAACACGACAGAATCAGTTGGTCAGCCTTTGAACAATACGAAATGAGTTGCACAGCCCATCTTGGGGGCCTTGCGACTTGATTTGTTCTTTTTTGGCGGTACTGCCTTAACAGTGGATGTGGTGGATGTCGTAAGATTGCGTCAAGCCACAGAGCATCCGGCAAAAGCAATTATTAAAGCATAAGAAGAACAAAGGAAGATCGGGTAGAAGAAGTAAAAAAAAAAAGCAAAAACTCGCAGTGCCAGCGGGGAGACGCAGCCAGTCGCAAAATGGGGTCGAGGCTAGAACGTACCCGTGTAACGAACCAACTAATAGAATGTAGCGTTCATGTCGCAGTACTTGAATTCTGAAAGTAGAGAAAAACCGGAATTCGAACGATCAATGAAGATCTAGACTAAGGTCGGGGTAGGGGTGGTGTTGTAGTTTTAAGGAGAGGGTGGTTCAGCGGATGGTCGGCGAGAAGCGATTGAGGGAGTAAAAGTGTG